GGCTGGCTGCAGCGCAGGCAGATTGCAAGGAGGGCTCCGAGCAGACGGCGAGTGTGCAGATGGCCAGGCCCACGCTCTTCCGTTCTGTGCCAAGGAGAATGAAGCGCTCGGCAGCTTAAATTAAACGCAGCGGGTCCGGCTTTGATTCCTGCTTTTCTGAGAGAGGAGGGGGAGGAGAGGAGGAGGAGGAGAGGAGGAAGAGGAGATGGGGCCTGGGAGGCAGAGCCCATTCGCTTCCCGTCTTCCCAGCCCCTAAGCAACTTTCTAGACCAAAGAAGCTGCCTAGACAAGCAGCGAAACGTATCTAACCAAAAGAGAAGAAGTCCGGTTGCCGTGACTCAACCTCCAGATAATTCCACCTGGATGACTGAGAACCGTCATCAACATACATCGTTCCCAGCCATTACTGGACCTTCTTCTCTTGGGAAAGGCTACTGAGGGCTATCCAGCAACGGGTCAAACGGGCTAAATCTTGGCTCAAGGGGACCACCGGGAAACAAGGCGCCAGCCGTCAGGCGGGGAGGGGAGGGGCAAGGTAACAGAGACGGCGTTTACAACATCGGTGTCTGATGCCAGGGGACCTGCTTAAATCTCATCTGCGGCTGGCAGTAAGGGGTCTGGGGCAGGGAAAGTCTTGTGCCCCCCCTTTCTCTAGGTCACACCCTTCTTCTGAGCTTTTTTCTCTGGGCCCAGGAGAAGGCCGGGGTGGGGGCTGGCTTTGACCCCCCCAATTCTGGCCAAGGAGAGCTCCGAGCCAGCATCCCCCTGCAGTGGCCACCCTGGCAACAGTGCCCAGGTTTAGCCCCACCAGAAGGGTGAGAAGTCCCCTGGCCTTCAGAGGCGCAGGGCGCAAAGTTTCCCCACACCCTGAACAAGGATCTGCCTTGTGTTCGTTGACCCAACGGCAGTTCAGGATGGAGGCAGAAAAACACAGGCTGCAAACTGCCAGCGCAGAATGTCCGCAAATACGTGCCCGCAGGCAGCCCCCACGTACACCCATAGGAATGCCCCCGTGTGCCATACTCCATGCCTACCTTCTTCCCTTTCTTTGCTTCGTACTCCATGTCCTGTCCACGCTCAGCTTCTCTCCCCAGGAAGACGCCTTTTCCTCTACGCCATCCAGCCTTTGTTTTCCCATCCTGTGTCGGAAACTCCACCAGCTTCTGGTCCTGATGTCACGCAGCCACGTTCCTGGCCCGTCCTGCTTGGGGGGACCTGGGATCGTGCAGCAGCCTCTGGATGCATTGGCTGGGAGGGCAGCAGGGGGCGCCTGGTTGGGGAAGACCGCAGGAGAGGAGGGTGGCCTTGCAAAGGCTTTCTGGGGCTTTCTCCGCAAATGGCCTTGATAACAACCCACCCTTCCAAAAGGAATCGCGCTCCCATTTTTCTTCTCCACCATCCACCCAGGGGACAACAACATATTTCTCTCCAAGCTGTGAGACAAGGTCCCCCCATCCATCTACCACAGCGTTTCTCCATCTCAGCAACTTTAAGATGTATGGACTTCAACTCCCAGAATTCCCCAGCCAGTCTGGACTTCAGCTCCATCCATCCTAGACAGCATGGCCAATGCAGGGTTGTCTGCAAGCGGGGTGGGGGGGTGGGCGGGAATCAAAAAAGTCAGGATGGGGATGATGGGCGTGTAATCAACCCCTGCCCCTTTTTTACACACCAGATCAGCCACCACCATCATCTTGACTTTTTTGATCCCCACACACCTGTAGTTCTGGTCAGTAGTGCCTTTTATGTTTCTTCATACATATCTGGGTTCCTAGCTGTGAGCTGCCCAGAGTCGTTTAAGAGTTGGGTGGTGTAATGGGACGTAGGAATAACCTTGAGGAACAAGCAATCTGAGTCCAAAGCAGAGATGTAATGTGAGAAAGCGTCTCAGGCATGACCCTCCCTAGTTCTCATGAAGATGATGGGGGGGCATTCAGACTTGCAGGATTCTGTTACCGTAACCTTATAAACAAAAGTATTGGCTTGCATGATTTTGGTTTCCTAGTCTGGTCTACCTCGAAGGGCTGACCACAATTGTGCAAGTTGGAATGCACCTCCCTCCTCCCCCCGTTTATCCTCAAAAGTCTGAGACGCTTTCTCAAGTTACATTTCTGCCCCCGACTCAGATTTCTCTTATCTGACAGGCGCCTCGGTTGCGACTCTTCCTCCTGGTCCTCAAGGTTATTCCTACAGCCCATCACAGGTGGCCTATACATTATAAAAAAGATAAAGTAATAGCCCTGAGCAATGGAACACGGTGGGCAGCTGTGGCTCTTAACATCTGGAGGAGAACAAGTTACCATTCCCCACGATACATTTCTGGTTGGATGCACCGTGAGTTGCGTTGGGCCTTCAGTTTTTCTTCCTTTGGAGACGGAAAACTGGAGGATTCCAGTAAAATCCAGCAAAGGAGGTAAAATCCAACCGACAAATATCAGAAAAGGGATGGGTGAGGCCATGAGCGAACGGGGATGGAAAACCGAAGCGAGGGAAGGCCATTTGGGAGGTTTGGTCATCCAGAGAGAATGAATGAGCAGCAAATGCCAGAGCGGTGGGAAAGGTCAAGAACAAATGATGTGCTGGGGGAGGGTGGCGCAAGAAGCAAGAATCATCTGCACGGACAGGGAGGGATGAAGAAGGGAACGGAGCCGGTGCAGACGGGTTTCAGCCCTGCTTTCTTTTCTTTTTGCGTCTCATGCTCCTTCCCTCGGCTCACCAGGTCTCCCGCTTCTCTGCGCTGCGCATGAGGCTGTTTTCCCAAAGGGAATGGTGTGACAGGGGTGGATCGGGGGACGCACTGTTGAACCAGCTTCAGCTCGCCTCTCCCGAGTTTCTTCCCCAGCCTCGGTGACCTGAAATACTTTTGCGCCAGGAACACTGCGGCTGAGACGCCGCGTCCTGCGTGCAGGTCAGGCGCTGCTCCCCCAAGCCAGGGTCTTGGTGCTCCCCTTTTTTTGCTCATTGACCAGCTCTGTGACAGCTTTGTTGGGGGGGGGTGTCTGTGTGTGCATGGAAAGACAAGCGCTCAGATTTTATCCAGGTGCTCCCTCCCACATCCTGACACATTAATGTTCCACCCAGTGTGGGGGGGGAGAGCATGCCTCCCGCCATCAAAAAATGATCCAGTCTTCTGTTGAAGCGGCATGGGGATCCTGTCCCCCCTCCCCCAAGGGATCAGCACAATCCCTTTATCCCCAAATGGCTTGCTTTTTTCACCGCAAAAGCTGGCAACGAGCGATGACGAGGCAGAGCAGCCAGAACCCAGCCAGGTGATGGCCGTCATCATGGCTAGTAGACGCCACGAGATCTCTCCTCCATACGTGCGGCTGATCCTTTGAGTCATGTTGAATAAAAGGTGGTGACCGCGCAAAATGCCCCTTAACGCACTGCTGGAATAGCAGTGGCTGAAGCGAGCAGGCACCCAGCACGAGGAAATGGTGAATTGGCCCCCAGCGTCTTAGGAGCAATTTCATCAGGGCATCAAGTAGCGTGGGGTCTTTCATCAGGAGCCCCGCTAACAACGGGGAGTGTGCTGGGTTTATTATGCACATTAAAAAAAACACAGAAAACACCTGGCTGGTTCTGCATGTATAGCAGGGTTCCTCAACCTCAGCCCCTTTAAGATGGGTGGACTTCGACTCCCAGAATTCCCCAGCCAGCCATGTTGAAGCCCACCCATCTTAAAGCGGCTGAAGTTGAGGAATCCTGATGTATAGAGCATGCATTCGTTTTCCTACAAACTTCTCCTGGCCTGAATCTATGGGACCTGTTTTATTTCGGAAGAAAATAAAATTGACCCAGTCCTTAAATCGTTGGATCATCTCTGCTAAAATATTAGCAACGAAACGATGCAGAATCGAGCCGGATGTCCGTGTCTCTAGAGGTCCAGGACTCAAAAACCAACGGAGCTCCTTTTGATGGGATATTCAGAGATGGATCCCTCTGGACTTAGCGACTGGGTTTGGCTCACCATGATTCGCGTGCCTCAAATTCACCTGGCCCGTTTCTAAATCTTCCAGATCTTGGGGGGGTGAGCTCTGCAAGGGAATTGCATACTGGGGGAAGAGGTTCGCTGTGCCCCCCACTGCCACCCCCATTTCCTAGGCCAGCGTTTCTCAACCTCAGCCACCTTAAGGTGTGTGGACTTCTGAAATTAAGGGAACTGGCGGAGGTGGCGAAACTGACGACTTTGAGGGAATAAAAGACTTTGACTGGCTTCGTTTCTACTTGGAAACTTCTTTTGGGCTTTTTGCTTGCAATTGAAAGAAATGAAACTTTAATTTTGGGTTTGATGACTGATATTTTTCATGGTTATAGAAATACTTTCTATTAGCTTAAGCATTAGAGTAAGAGGTGACTGTATTATATATTTGTACCTGTACCAAAAAAGTTGGAAGTTATCCTTTTTCTTTCTTTTTACTTTTTCTTTTTTCTGCTTTAAATTTCACTTTTTCTGATTTTCTCTTTTTTTGAACCTATTTTTTCTCTTTCCTTATATTTCATTCTTTGTTGAAATTTAAAGTTCTTTCAAAAGATGCATGGACTTTTACCCCCCCACAAACTCCCCCCCGCAGCCGCCGTGAGGGCGAGCGGTAGCGTGGGGTCGCGCCAGTCTAGAGTCTC